CTTCCTTCCTATCTTCCTTCTTTCCTTCCTATCTACCTTTCTTTCTTTCTTCCTTCCTCCCTCCCTCCCTCCCTCCCTATCTTCCTTCCTTCTTTCCTCCCTTCCTTCCTATCTTCCTTCTTTCCTTCCTATCTACCTTTCTTTCTTCCTTCCTCCCTCCCTCCCTCTCTTCCTGCTGGTTACAATGCAGTACTGCAGGCTAGCTCACTGTCAGCAGTTCGATCCTGACTGGCTCAAGATTAACTCAGCCTTCCTTCCTTCCTTCCCTTCCCTTCCCTTCCCTTCCTCCTCTTTCCCTCCCTCTCTGGAAGTGCAGGGGTTAGAATGCAGTATTGCAGGCTAACTCTGCCCACAGCCAGGAATTCGATCCTGACCAGCTTCAAGGCGGATTCAGCCTTTTCGTCCTTCCAAGGTCGGTAAAATGAGGAGACCCAGATTGTTGGGGGCCAACAGGCCGATTCTGTAAACTGCTTAGAGAGGGCTGTGAAGCATTGTGAAGCGGTATATAAGTCTACAGTAAGTGCTGTTGCTATTTAAGATGGGTGGACTTTAACTCCCAGGATTCCCTAGCCAACAGGGTCACCGCTAAGAATTTTGGGAAATTAAAATCCACTCATCTCCAACAGTGTTTCTCACGCTTGGTAATCTGGTTGGGGAATTCTGGGAGTTGAAGCCCACCCATCTTAAAGTTGCCACGGTTGGGAAGCACTGGAGGACATCCAACCATATCCTGGAGTCCTCAACAGCGGGAGTGGGGGAAGCAGTAATTCAGAATTGTCTTACGGTGTAGGATGACTTGCTGGTAATTTCCAGAAGTTTCTGCTTGGCTCTCCTTTCAGAGTCTCGGGATTCTTGCAAGTCGTTCTTGAGTTGATCTGCCTCCTTTGCCCTGGCAGGCAGTCAAGAAGAGGAAAAAAGTCAGAGTCAGACTCAAACCAGCATTTATCCTCCCCCCCCCCCCCCAAAAAAAAGACAAGAGGTGGGGCGATGCTTCATCTCTCTGAAGGCTAAAAACAGTGTCGCATTCTAGTGATATCATAAAGCAAAAAACCAGCGAAGGCAAGGATTGTTATCTCTGGTAGCCGATTCTGAAAAGTTAACTTGGAAGACTCTCGGAAAAGATGCTGCAGGTGACAATTAAACCAAACAAACAGAAAACATGCAGGAAATCCACAATTTGTGACCTTTCTTGCCGCTGTCTCTATTCTAAAATGGGGTGAGATAATTTCTTCTTTTTTTAAAAAACAAATTCTATTAATTTTACAATTAAAAACAAATCAACAACACATACACAGATAGGAGAGCAAAAAAGAAAAGAAAGAGAAAGAGAAAAAGAAAAAAGAACGGAAAAACACTTAAAAACATTCTCATTTTCAACAGTTTGCAAGATCTTTTCTTTTCTTGATTTATGCCATATACACACACTTTATCCATATGTATGTTTATATATCACTCATATAGATTTGTCCTATTCTTTTTTGCCATGATATAAAATCTGTCTTTGTTCTAACCATTTATACCAGCAATTCCAATTGTTATAATATATTGAAGAATCTTTATTTTTTAAGGCTAAAGTTAGTTCATCCATTTCTGCACAGTCTGAGATTTTTTTGGGTGATCATCTGTTCTGTAGGTATATGAGGTAGCTTCCAACATTGAGCAAAAGCTAGCAAAAGCTAATTTCTTATATGCCCTTATATCATCCAGAGTGCTCCACGAATAATTTTTCACATTCTGAATACCAAATCGAACCTAATACAAGCGTGTGTGTGAATGGATGGTGGGGAACGGAAGGATTTATACTCCTTGCAGAGAGCTGGTCATTTGCATTCTTTTAGAGAGCCGGTGAGGCCACTTGGAGGTTTGTCTGTGGCCTCAATGACTCTCTAAAAAGGACGCAAATGACCAGCTGTCTGCCAGGAATATAAATCCTTCCGTTCCCCACCATCCAATCACAGCTGAAGAAGCTTCTTGGATGAGAAGCGAAATGTCTCCAGAGGAAAAAAAAAGGAAGTCCAGTTGCCTCTTTAGGGCAATTTGAGGGTAACCGGATACATAGAGTGGAGAGATGGCATTAAGTTTTAATTATAACAGATATATCAGATAATCAGAATTGGAAGGGACCTTGTAGGTCATCTAGTCCAACCCCCCGCCCAAGCGGGAGACCCTACACCATTTCTGACAAATGGCAGTCCAATCTCTTCTTGAAAGTCTCAAGGGATGGCGCGTGATGAAGTAATTACTCAACCTCCTCCCGTAAGAAGCTGTTCCAAGCATTCCATTCACTTTTCCCAACTCCAGCCTGAGGCTTCTAATCCCAGATATCTATAGAACATCTACCGGACACTAGTCTGGCTTAGTTCATTTTAAAGGCAAATGAAAAAGTACACTATTTTATATTCCAAGCTCCTCCTATGGGGATAACCACCTTCGTTCAGACTCCTCCGCCATTTTCAGCGCCAACATCTCGGCCTCCAACACTTTTTGTTCCATCAACCGCTTCTCTTCCTCCGTCCGGATCGCCGTGGCTTTGATCCGTTGCATTTCCTGCTCCGCCTCAGCTGCCTTTTGAGCCAGGAGTTTGGCTTCCTCTTCGGTGATCTGAGCTTTTTCAGCCAGCAAGTCGGCGGTTTCTTCCGATCTCATCTGGGCGAGAAGGACGGAGAATTCAAACACGCGAAGCCTGACCCGTTCAATGGAAGCCTGGATGAATCCCAAAGCTGGGGAATGGGTCCCAAAGGTTTAAGAATACAGGTAGTCCTGGACTTGCAACGGTTCATTTACTGACCCTTCGAAGTTACAACAGTGACGGGCCTGAGATGAGCAACAGAATCCCAAGGGTGGGATTCCACTGGTTCAGACTGGTTTGGGCGAACCGGATGTTAAATTTACATCTGGTTCGCTGAACTGGTAGTTGAACCGACTGG